TTAATGAATGTTCAACATGAAGTCATCTACCAGCTTTTGGGCAACTAACATCGAAAATTGAGGACGTGATTTCAGCATGAGCTGAGTGGGTGTCAAAAGGGTCTCGAAATGGGTCCCAGCTAACATGAACACAAATGCTGTAATTCCTCTCTAAACTTGAAGAATGACAAATGTTAGCACATGCTGAGATTTCTGCCTTTTTTTTTCCTTGCCTTATCAGTATTGTGATAAGTTTAAAAAAAAAAAAAATATGCTGTTATCAGAACCATTACACAACATTTGGGGGGAGGGGGTCATCCCATATGAGGAGTTAATCCTTGATAGAGGAGGGGTGGTTCATGTTGTAATATTGCCTAGTTGGAGATGGGGGGTCCCTAATGATAGTACATGTTGTACATATTTATATGAACTTATGAAGTGGGTGTTGGGGTCCAAAGTATGTGTTGCACTTGTGGACTTTCATCTCATTTTTCAGATCTCGTGGAGAGAACTTACATCACTGCAGAAATCTCAACAAACAGCCGGTCGGCTGAGATAGCTACGCTGTTAGCAATGCACATTTCAATTAAAGAACAGAAGATATCATTAGAAAATGAACATTATGTAAAGTATCAAAGCAATGGGATTTTCTTGTTTTCAACAAGAAGTCGAAAATATCACTTTTTACCAAAAATGACAAAAATATTCACCAAAATTAGAGAATTGAAGATATCATTGCAAAATGAACAAATCTGAGAGAGGTCCACATGTAGTACCTATATATGTAATATCAAAGCAATTGGACTTGCGGTTTTTAACAAGAAGTCGAAAATATCACTTTTTACCAAAAATATTCACCAAAATTAGAGAACTGAAGATATCAACATGAAATGAACAAACCTAAGAGAGGTCTACCCAAGGTACATATACACCAAGTATCAAAGCATTCAGGCTTATAGTTTTCAAGAAGAAGTCGAAAAAGTAAAACATTAACACGGACGATGACGGACAATCACTCATATGATAAGCTCCGCTCGACAAAGTCGACAGCGGAGCTAAAAAGCATTCCAAATGTCATTATACAGAGATACAATGTATACAGAAACCATATTGGCAGCTGAAATGAAACATGTACCACATGTTTTACTTACCAATTGTTGGATCGTGATAGTCTATAAAACTATGTGTGACAAACTGCATGGTCAGGGCTACAAAAAAAAAACACATTAATATTAAGGATGTAGTAAACTGTAGACTTTCGTTGGGCAAAACAGAAAAAGCTTGATAAAAATTATAATAATGATTAATAACTAACAATTTTTACATGTTGTTGTAGTCCTTGCAACACTATATCCAAAAATTATGATAACACTAATGTCAATATTAATTACATCAAGTGACTGCTAAATAAACAAAGAAAAAGTGGTGGGGTGTCTCGACTGTGAATCGAATACATAGTAGAGATATGACAGAACTGAAACTGAGAAGAAAGACCTGTAGGTCATGCTTTAATGTAAATAAAACTATAATTTTATATATTTTATCTATTTAGCAGCGAAAGCAGAAAAATCATAACATTTTGTAGCACTGAACATTTTTGGGGGGTCCTATGACATGCAGTGCCAGTGATGCTAAAATTTTGTCTGAAATCACAAACACCATGGTGTCAGAAAAACACAACCAGAAACTGATGATGCTGCATAATCTGATGATTGCAATGAATTAACTGACAATCGAAAAACCAAGTTTATTAAAGTTATACTATTGGCACAACTTAGTTGAAAGCACTGTCAATTCTGGGTAGCTTGGGCAAATAATTAAATCTGAAAGTTACAGCATTAGTGAGTTATATTGAATTGTATCTTTCGTATTGCAGCATTTATTACAATTTTTCTTCACTACAATAAATCTTGTCATGCATAACTACTGTGAAACACTTTATTTTAGCTTGAATTAATTTTTGCTAAAAAGACTTTTTGGGTGTTTTGTACGGAATTTATTCTCACTGGTTTTTGATGAGTCAAATGTAAAATATAGGAAAATAGATGTATTCGCTGGATTTTATATTAACTGAATCGTGCCTTCAGTGAAAATAGCAACAATTAATTCTAAACAAAAATAAAGTATTTTACAGTACTAATATTCAAATTGTACTTTTCTGTACAAACACAACTAACCTACCGGTAGGTAACTGGGCAAATTTGATTCATGTTTAATCTAATATTGGAGTAAGTAATTCTCCAAACCATCATGGATGTAGCAGTTTTTTTTTACATACTGTAAAAATGACTAGTTTTCACTGGGTTTAAATTTCACTGATTTACCATTTCAGGCATATTCAGTGGGTTTTAAACTCACGGTTTTGTCATTTAGATAATGTGTTCTATGCTGAATTTTACATATTTACTGTGTTTTAATTTAGCGCATTTTCCAGTCAGCGAAATAAGCTAAATTAAAACCCAGTGAATAATTACCCCCTTTACAGTATTCTTCAATATTTCTGGAAAATGAACCCGAATTTTGGAGCCAACATACAAAATTTGAGTCAATTGTCAGTTTTTACCGGTATTCTTTTTGACTAATTTTGTCCCAATCTTCTGAAGGATAGTGCAGACTATAAACAGAACTATTTTGTGAATTTGTGATGAAAAGAGAGATACTAGTAACTGGTGGTGAAAAGGTTAATCATTTTGAGTTTAGAGTAAATAAACAAAAGTTTTAAAAAAATAACAATAAATAAAAAGCACCACACCCATGTACCCATGGTACACTAAAACTGAGTCCTGACTAATCGTACACCGAACATAAGAAATATGCATTGGCACCTGCATACAGTAAAGTTTCATAATTAATATTCATGTCATTATTACCCTTTTGTTTACATTCCTGATGTCAAGGTTACGTTCAATGTTATGACACTCAAGAAATAACACCACCCTGGACGAGATTGGCATAAAGCCAATTCTTTGCCACAGCCAGCCATGCTCAGAAATTATGATAGTACAATCACAGAACTGAAATCTAGTATTATGTGATTTGTCTAAACTCAAAACTGGGATTTTTGTTTTAGTAATATCCTGGAGTAAATAAAAAAAAGGTCCATGACTACAGTAGATCGGAATGCGGCAACAACGCAGCGTACAAGGTCATGAATTGAGTGTTTTTCGTTCGTTAACCCCAACTCAATGCACATCCTATTAACAAATGCGCGTTATAGGACGGAACTACAACAGCCACTGAACGCGTCATCCAGACGTGGCAGTAGGAGGAAAACTATTTCCTAAACACAGCGACTGTCTAATAAAAATCACATCGCAGTCTGCTTTGCAAAAAACACATATAGCATAGAACAAACGCCGTCACCCGAGCTGTCTGTTAATCGCGACAACAAAACACTCGCTACATTGTCAAAATAAAACTGCCCAGGCACCACACACTTGCCACTAATCCTATGTTTATCACTGAAGTCCAGGTTTTTAAGATTATATACCCACAGATAGAAGTGAATAATGCTATTTATATCACAAATTTGAACGATACTGCCAGCATGAACATTAAACGTTCTGCAAAAAAACGAATAGTTATGCTCACCACTTTTTCCGACGCCTCCCTGGCCAAGCAGCACAATTTTGTAAACCCGCATGCCACCTCGCGTCGTTGTCTGGATCTCCATGCGGTGTCTGATTGTTAGCGGTGTTCCAGTCAAAGCTTGTTAGGTGCAAACTGCGTAAAATCTTAGCGTAGTAGCTATTTTTGTCTCATTGTATCGCTAAGAATACTGTACAAATGCAGCCAAACTCCGCCTAAATCTAAAGGTCAACGCGTGGTGGTGCTGTTTACAAGTCGGGATTTATGGTGACGTAGACATTTCAAATAGCAATGACGTCATAATGACGTCAATTGGTACATTGACCGCGTCAGAAACCCAGAAACTGATCGATAATGCTATTAAACATAAATAACTGCTGAAACGTATACATACATGTCTCAAAACGTGCCTAAATACCTGCCCACTAGCCGTCATCACCGAAACGATCTAACTCGGTCACGCAGCGAGACGTAGGCTCGCTCTCATTCTTGTCGAAACCGGCCGCAGCATCAGCAGTATTGTGCTGTTGTGACACTGATGTGAAGACAAATATTTTTCTTACAGTATAAACAAAAGACATTACGTACACAGTCACGTACATAGTCACGTGATATTTATTTTTATATAAACATGTATAGAGTTAAAAAAGATGTTTTTTTTCTATTTTTAGCTCCATGATCCATGGGACCCATGCCATATATGAGTCCTATGCATCACTGACAGACAGTATTTCCTACTACATCCTCATAACAGACGGGCATGATTATTATTAAGAAAAGATTAACAAAGTGTGAGTTTCCAATTTGTTAATTGTCTACAACTAAATAACCGAAACATGCCTAACCCATACATTGATTGTGTTTTCATTACGTAATACTTGAAATCGATCACAGTGTAAATACATTTCGCATGGATGGCCGATCGCGAGCCTTGTATTTCCCATCATGCTTTCCACCCTTCCGTCCCCCTGACATTTCGGTACTAGTACTATGTAATGCAATTATGAGTATAATCGACATTGTGTATCACGTGACAACATTTGATTGGTCATTATAAACTCCAAGGATCGTAGATTTTCAGGAAAAAAATATACGAGGAAAAATGAAATAAATAAATAATTATGAAAGTAATGTATATTTAAAGGGTAAAGTACTAAAATTACTTTTTCTAATATAGGCTGTATGCTAGTTATAAGAATTCACGTTGTCTCGTCAAGATTTGAAAGTTCAACATTTCGATGGGAAGGGGGGTTGTGATCACGTGGAATAATATTAGCTATTCATACGTCATAAAACATAATTCAGCGAAATAAAACACAGTTACATGTATTTGTAATATAATTTCCTGTGACATTTTTACTATTGCAGTATTTCAGAATATCAAATTTCTATCTAAAATGATTTACACTTTTTATATTTTTGAAATGCACGTGTGCCATCATTTTGAAGACCGACTTTGGGCAGAGAAATTTGCATTTTAGTCACGTATTGCATTTGTGAAACCCGACTTTGGGCGGTGAGGGTCTGAATCGTCTTGTGTTGGTCGTGGGTGTACCTGGTACATGTTTTATACTCATATACTTATGAATAAAATAAATTTTGTCCCAGAGAATTGACTATTTCAATTTATCGCTCGTTGGCTGCACCTGATGCATTGCATCATTACTTACGTAACGTTGCCGGATTGATAATTAATCGTGTGCCAATTGCCACACGTCACTCACGGGTTTAGGGAGAGGCGCGCCAGCCCCCCCCCCCCGTCAGCCCGCAAACAAGGACAACTCAATTGACAAACCCCACCCACGTCAATAGGAGTGCGCCTTTTACCAAAATTCTGGATCCGCCAGTGCACGTGGTACATATAACCTATTTTATGGATAAGTAAAACGACCTTTTGTTTTCTCTAATTGCCCTTTGTCCGACTTGCTGTTATTAAACAATTATTGTTAATTGTTATTAAACTTACGACACTTATGCAAGTAACCAATAAAAAAAGTTACGAGGTATATTGTTATTTAGTATTTCAATATAAATGAATTAAAACAGTTACGATAACTTACATAACATAACTTATGTTACGCATAAATGTATGGCATTATATTCGATATACCCCTGCATTATTATGTTCTACCTATCATCGAGACCGACTTCATGGTGTAACACTATCATCGAGACCGACTTCATGGTGTAACACTATCATCGAGACCGACTTCATGGTGTAACACTATCATTTATCCGCCTTTATACATGTAAAGCGAATTAGAATGTTTAAATTTGGGAATTGTTTATGTGTCAAAACTGTAGTGCACATCAAAAAAAATCATCAACCATATATTGCTTGTTAGCATTACTTAAAACGGGGAGTCGTTACCTGCGCATGCGTCAGATGGCCATAGCGTGTCATTGTTTACAAACAAGCTTCTACACATGAGCCTTTGTGTTTTTAGCGCGTGTTGTTATCCTCGATTGGGACTCAAATCCAGCGCGTGCGCAGGAAACGACCCCCCCCCCCCGCGCTTTAAATTCTCACTCATATATGAAATGTGTATCAAATCAAAATATTGAATAAATCTGCAATTATATCAGTTACTTTTCTGCATATTTTTTTTAACTCGGTAGAATTATCATATTTTTGTCTGGGAGTTGAAGGCAAGCTGAATAATTCATGAAATGATCCCTGAGATATGCCCTAAAATACATTAATTTACATGTATATTTGGACGTTCTTTATGATAATAATATCACTACAGAATAGAATGGTTATTCAACAAGATGAGGTCTATATTTATTATACACGCTATCAAAATACACAATTGTTGTTCCGGCCATGGATCTGGTGTATTTTTCACTATTTTCACTATTTCATGCACAATTCACAGAAAATAGAAATGCACTTACACCGTTTACAGGGAATAATTTTATAATTTCACGGATCACCGGAAAACATCATCACGAATAATGTGAACAATATTTATTCAATTATGCATAAAACATAGATCGCGTCACTCCGCACACATTTTCTAGCTTTTTGTATTGAATTTCGCTTGTTTTATTGTCCGTGATTTTACCCGTGGAAAATCGCTATGACTTCCACGTTTCATCAAACTAGTCGTCGCAGCCATGTGTAAGTGTGAGATGACAAAAATGAGTCATCTCCACCACTGTAGCATAGTATCCATTGAGTTCGTTTATGTGTTTTTTTGTAATATTAAACAATCGTACTAAATTTTGTTTAAAAATTTACGCCCACAACCCTTGGCGCTGTCTTTTGTGAGACAGTCCCTGGGACTGTGGTTGTATTAAAAAATCATTTACGTAATTGTGATTTAAAAACGACCGAAAAGTGGCTGGTTACAACGAGACTGGGGCACTATGTTTTGTGTGGAAGGTTACAATTTTTAACTTGCATTAATAAGTAACCAGGTATCTTGAGTGAACTTTGGACTTGTTGGGAGGTTAGAACTATTTGGAAATCGTTCGTCTTAAAGTTTGCAATAAGCTGCAAGGACACAGAACAAGCTTTTACAACTTAAATTAATAGTTATCTGACTTTCTACTGTCAACATCCAACTGAACAGCATTTGTGTGTCCAGATGAGTCACGTGGTGTGACGGTCACGTGGAAGAACAGGTATGTTTGACCCAATTGTTGGTACTTAGTATCATGTTTACAGTTTCATGGCTCCGCCATCCACTTAATAGAATGTGCCATGTTCTGTTACCCATAATTGTAATTATAATGATGGAGTCTTATACCCAATCATGACAGTGGTGATTGTCAATGGTCGTATAATATAAATATACGCATAAAATATACGCACATAAAATACGCCGACAGTGTACATTTCATATGTCGAATGAAGAACACATGCATAAACGATATAAACGATGTTTGTTACATTTCTATATAATGCAAACTTTTCCAGATTTCAGTTGGTGCCAATCGTACCAGTACAATGTATTTACATTTGGGAATCACCTCGATTCATATACACTAGAAAGTGCACATTCGGAATCAATTCTCACATTAGGTTGTTACTGGTCTTTAGAACACATGCATACACAAACAACGAAACTTATGAAAATAATTCTATACTTATTACACAATATATACATCTAACAGTTTACAACTTATTTCATTGTGAAGCGCGGATATGATGACAAAGACGATGCCAAGTTGTACCCGGGCTATCTCCATATGTGTAATTCTATTGACATGCGCAGTTATCCTACTTTATGTCACTGGGTGTCACAGGTCAAAGGTTAGTTTTTGTTAAATTGTTATTTTATTCATATTTTGATAAATTCAATCCCTTATATTGATTGCATGCACAGGTGGTCGGCAATATCAGCATCATGAATGGCAAGATAATAACCAAAAAAGAAAAGAAAAAAATCGAGCATGCATGTCAAGTTATACAGATATGGGGCACGGTGGATAATAGTTTTTTTTTTTTGAATAAATCTGCTCCAAAAACTAAACTGTGGTTTCGTACGTTACCAGTGTTATAACGATACCAATAATTCACTTCATTGTGCAAATAAACCTTGGAACAATAACCGAAACGAGATGGGTCTAACCATGGAAGGTACTAACATTAGTATATAGTTAGTACCTTCCATGGTCTAACGCTTCCGTGGCGGCGGTAATGTTTCAGCTGACAGGTGAATTTTTGGGGGTATTGTAATTTAAACATGACCACATCTTGAAAAAAAGACATTTCTTTCTGTGTTTTTCAGATGCAAATATTAGAAGCAAATATCAATATAGTCCAGTCTACCAACGACAAGTGTTACATAATGCCAGCATTTGTGAATCCTTCTAGTGGACCACAAAACAACTATCATCGTTTGGTCTATTCAATCTCCGACGCCCTGCAAAGAAATTGTCAACTCGCTCTTTACCCGATACCTGTACACAGGACTCAAGATAGCGGCAGTCGCTTTAGAACATGGAATGAAACATTTGATATTGCCAGTCTGCGTAATATCGTAACCACGGTAACACCAGAACAGTTTCATCGCAAGTGCAATGCCAACGCTGCTTTTCGCGTGTGTATGAATGGATTCGGCTTAAGTTACCGTCAAGTTGTTGAACGAATTGAAGCGGACACAGAATTATTTTTTGTCAAAGATACGGGTTCCCTCCAAAATAGTTTTGGTTGCCATGACTACAGGGATAGAAAATGTATGATCGACCTGCATCCGCCAGGATTGACCATTGGACAGTCGGTTATTGATCATCTAAGAAAGGCCACGT